CTTAGGTCCTATTGGTGAGCAAACATGAAGATGGAAGATCTGTGTGTGCACATGTCTTGGATATGAAGTCACACATTGACAAGCTGGGAATGTTAGGAGTCGATGTCTCAAGGAAGTTGGTTGTTGAATTGGTTCTTCAGTGACTTCCCGAGTCGTATAGTCAGTTTGTTAAAGACTACTATATGACAGACCACGACATGACCCTAATTGATCTTACGTATTTGCTAACTGCTGTCGAATCAACAATGATTTGGTGCACTGGTAAAGCAAATTTGATTGGAAGATCTACTTCCCAAACTTCCATGGACATTATCAATGGATACATTGGATGTCCAGAAAAATATTTCTTTTTCCAAGGGGAAGGGAAAGGCTAAGTCTGAGTTTTCCAGTGTACCATTCCAAAAGAGTCCATATGTTTCTTTTGCAAAAAGAAGGGGTATGGTTGTGAAGCTACCCTGACTACCTGAGAGATCTAAGAGATGGTATAATCAAATCGCATGGTTCTACTTCAGGTAAGTCAACTATGTTACTCTATTAAGTTCTTATCTATAGATTCTTAATACATGATGTGATAAGATTATATTTTGATGTTTTGTAGGATCAAAGGAAGCTTAAAAGAAAGGCATGCAGAGTCTGATCGCGAAGCGATGGTTTTTGATCGCATGGTTCGATGATCGGATTTTTGAGCTGCTGCTTAAGAGTTATGATAGATTTCTTAGAAATTTATAATAACATAGTTTTCATTTGTAATTGCATTGTAACACAAAATTTTTTTCCGCAATTATATAAATAAAGAAAAAAAATTATTTTATCTTATTTTATATTCCCTTGCAATGGCACATGTGAAAATTTATGTTTGTATTTTTAGCAATATGGATTTGATTCTTTCATTTGTGGTAATGTCTAAATTTACCAAATAAGGAAAGATTCTCATCAGCCATGTTTCAATTGGACAAAAACTTGGGATCATGCAACTTGTATTGTATGATGAATGAGAACCTTCATTTTTAGGAAATTAGGACTAATTCCTTGGTCATATACAAATGTCATTTAAGTGAAGGACTGGGGATCGGGTACACTTGGTTGTGTACTGGTCAGGTCCACCACAAAGAATAATAAGACTATTCGTTATGGTTTACTAAAGTTAGTAAATATGGTTATTTTTACAAGATTAAGTAAAATTCTGATTCATTGAAAAGTCTCAATGTATAGCAGAATGAATAAGAAGAATCACAGTCGACAGAAAGATAAAAGTTTCTGCAATCTGAAAAGATGGGAGAGTACGTGAGTATCATGTTTTATTATCATCTTAATGATTATGAAAACCATGTCAAAAAATTGATCCTCTAAGGACGCCTTAGTGCATTTTGTTTTTGATAATAAGAGGAATCAGGAATTGTTGAAATGATTAAATCAATTAAGATGAACCATACTTCGTTCCAAAATCAAATATTAGAGTCATACTCCAAGATTGTACATTGAGTGACATATCAACAATGTAGAGTAAAATCTATTCTACTCTTGTACATTTTGAAATTGGTAAGTTGTAATGTTTTCGATAAAACAAAGATCAACTAAGACCGATTGTCAAAAGTGTTTGCCTTGATAAGAAATCGCACTAACTCTTGAATATTTGTTTGTCAAGTAATGTTTCTTGATAGAGAGAAACTTATATGTTAAGAGTTCAGTCTGAGTCTTAAAGATCTTGAAAAGTTTAAAGAACTAGTCAAGAGTCAACCTATCGTTAATCACTAGCACACGACTTGAGGTTTGTAACATATCGTGTTGACATATTCTTATTGTTTTGCCCATTCCAATTGGTTGACTATGCATGTGAGTTCTATGAGTTCTCAATGGTTTGCATTACAACCTGGAAGCAATGGTAGGCCCTTGTGCTACCAGGTGGCAAGGAGTTAAGATTGAACAAGTTCAGTCCATATGAGTTTGGATTTTTTTACTAACCTTGTCATGTGATTATGTTTTTGAGAAATTTACATGGATAGGAACACATACACCATAAAAAAAAACTAAGTGTCATAAGGTTTCTCTCCAATTCATGAAAATGATTGTGAGGAAACGCTTTCACAAAGTAGATTTTTAAGAGTTAGCAATTGTGATATTTGCACTCTCAAATTCGATTATGATTATGACATCGCTCTTCATAGTTCGAATTGTGAGAAATGAAAAAGGTCTAAACATTTGAGACTTATTTCTGTAAGTTCTAAAATTGTTTAGACACACATATGAGCTTTCTAATAAAAGGTGTGTGAGCTTAGATAAAGGCTTATCGAAGCATCTCATGTCAAAAATCTGAACTTTGGTAAGAAAGTCAATAAATTATTGTTTTCTAGAAGTCCAGCTGATTTCTGGATTTATGTCATAGCTAGTGAGAGCATAAATGTTATGCAAGTAACAAAATAATTTTTATGCTAGTGGGAGAATAATTATTATGGTAAGTGCTGCCAGTTAGCAATGTTAATTATATAAAACAAAATTTTCAATAGGCAGAGTTGCATGGTTGAAAAGTTGTTTAGCTATAATTAAGGGAGAGGAACTTATACTTCATTTCAATTGTAAAAGTTTAGATTGAGATTTTAATCAAATTTAGTCAATGATTTGTATGAATACCAAGTTGAAATGCTTCACCATTGGAAATTATATATATGAAAACATTATAGCAAAAGACTGGTCAAGTATCTTGTCTTTATGTAAGACATTATGAACCATATCTCATATGCTTCGGGTATAGGATCGATTGCATATGCTATAATATTCATGTGTTAGGTCATTTAGAGGACTAGAACTGGATATGACTAAAGTTATTAAACAACTACTAAGAACAATCCAAGGTTTGCCAAAGATTGGTTGCTTATGGATAGTTGGAAGTATAATAATGGATGGACCATACTGACATTATTATGAATAGACAGGATTCTATTTACGATGAGTTGTCGTATGGAAAATTTAGAAATGTTTCCAAATGGGAGTTGAATATCAAGAATTTATGAGAAAGTTAGAAACATTTATGCAAGAAGGATGTTTAAAGGAATGTGCTTTGAATATGAGACTTCGGATCTATGGAATTGTCAAGTAACAATCTCCAATGGAAAGTTTTGTAATTGACAAAGTCTCTATGACTTGTGTAAAAAGGATCACTTCATATAAGTTTAGAATCTGACAAATTACAGTAAATGGCAAGAAATTGGGATTCTTAAACTTATGATAAGGATTTGGAATTGTGAAATGAGTATCGTTGGAAATGTTTACAATTGATCTATTTCACAAAGTAAGGACCATAGGTAAATATAGTGTGCATGCTTGGAGCATGGGATAGCTATTGTTTTAATTCAAGTATTAGTTAATAAATCGAAACAATATACAATGAAAAACGTGTAATAAATATGGTGATTGAATAAAATGTGTTTTATTTATATTCAAAAGTTTTGGGGCCATATAGGATTAGTATTGTTCTTGTGTTTCACTTTGCATGTTTTCACATCCCAAATAATGGGATTATTCAAACCATCTACAGTTGATCATACTTTGGAAGTAGGTAATGGGGCTAGACTGTCATGAGTTGGATTGTAGATTGTCTAAGGCGTTAGACATAGAAAAAGTTTGCTACACCATTCATGAGTGCTCCTGAAATAAGATTTGAGTATTGGATTCAACATGCACTCACCTGAATTACTTCGTGGAATTTATCATGAGTAATTGTGAGATGATAATATCATATAATTTTCAAACTAAGATATATGAGTTGTTGACTACAAGTTGGTTGTACATTGATGATACGAAAATGCATCAGTAACTTGATGTTATAAAACGTATCATTGTGCATGACTTAATGAATAGTTAGTTTAAACATATAATGTCAAAGTTTATCTGTTACTTTTATCCTAAGAGGATTAAAAGAGATATCTTGGGCCTCTCGATGGTTCTGTTTTGACTATGTGTCAGGCCCGACCAAAACTAAATTCATTCGTTTAGTTATGTTCTATGTCAGACGAATCAGAAATCGAGAAACAAATTGCAGAACAATAAGTATGACTATGTTCCATGTATTTGTCTGCATAGATATATTGAGAACAGAGGAATATATGATCCCTTATTTGAAGGGCGCGTTACTGACTAGGTCAAAGTTAGACAGCGACTTTTAAAAGCGTACGATTGCTAAGTCGGATCCTGAAGTTGCATTGACAATTATGCTTATTAGACTTATCCAAGTTGGAGACAGTTCGATTTGGTGCCTAAGCTCATAGCTATAATTAGGATGTACTTGACCCTATTGTAGCATGGTCCTTTTGGGTTGTCTTCACAAGTGCAATTTTATAGGATGGACTTTTGTTAATAAGGTTATTTATGATTTAGTAATATATTACATTTATAATATATTAATATGAAATCATATTATTTAATTAGTATTGATCAAGAATTAATCTAGAAATAATTTTGTGATCAAAAGAGAGTAATTAAATATATGGGGACTGATTATGTAAATCAATGATTCTTATAGTGTGGGCTAATGATCCATGGTTATTTAGGAAGGGCTAAACCAATGAGATAATCCATGGAAAGTCTGGAGGTTAACCCATGGAACCTATTTAATATGAAAGGTCATTAGGGTTTACAAGGTGTAACCATAGCATTTGCTACACTATAAATAAACCGCCTTAGAGCCAAAATCGGTTGCAAAAACATACTTGGAGAGTGTGTATTGATTTTGTGCTAAATAACTTATTCTCTCAAGCCTCCTCTTGCATATTGGTGTTTGTGAACCATTAGAGGCATCACACTTGAGGTTCTCAAGCCTTCAAAGGTCAAGAAATACAAGTCCTTCTAAAAGGTAAGTCATCAAACTAGTTGTATTGTTCATTTGACAATTTGAATGCTAGTCAGGATATATGCTTTGGAAACTTGAAAATATGCATGTATAATTAGAGAAAACATAGATCCAAAGCATTTAGGGTTTCATGTGCTCCATATGAGTGCTATAGTGCTCAAAACCCAACATTCATAACACCCTGAAACGTAGGAGAAACAACGAGAACTGATGTAGGTAGAAGTGTAGATGTTTGTGGTGGAGACGAAGGTGGTGGTAGTGGAACATTTGTAGTTTCATTGGCTGATGTTGAACTCCCATCACCCATGTTAACATTTGAGTCCATAACATTTGAGTCCATAATAGATATTTTCTCAGGGATGTTTGAAATTCTACCCTCCTCCATATTGGAGTCGAAAGTAGGAACCCAAGGTGGTGTGACTGATGTCTTCTCAAGGAGCAAAGTGATAATTTGTTCACCAAAATTGATGTTTATTACCATATTAGATACATTCACAATGACATAAGTAATACATATCCCCTCAAAATTCAATTTGAAATTGGTATCCTTCCTAGGTGAAATATGAAAATTATAATCACAATTCTCAAAAAATCGCCTTCATTTGCTTCGATGTGTCTATCAATCTCTATCGTCGTAATAGTGTTGGATCTTGAACAGAATGCAGTTCGTTATTGAAAGTTCTAACTGTCACACCCCCAAACCTGAACGGAAGAAACATTTGGGAGCGGAGGATGTCATGTAGTTCGTCTAGGCGGCATATATCTGCAATGTTACTTTGTGTTGTTGCATTGACTTCTTGAATCTGGCATTGAGATCCTTGACTGGTCGATTTGGCTAGCTATTTTATCCATGATGACAGGTAGCGCCCTATCAGTTGGACCTCCATTGCTAACGTCGTATAAGTCTCGAGACATCCCATATGGAGGGCACACTCCTTGTTGTCGCCTCCATTGGTGAATGAGGTTTCCCCACATGGGGGTTGGTCCTTGAAAACCTTTCCTGATTGTAGGAGGTCGATTGGCTGGTTGTGGATTGTACACTTCAGGTTCTGTATTAGTCCCTTCTGAATCTTCTTTCTCCTCAATTGGTTCCTCTTCTTCTTCTTCTTCATCATCCATAATTTCTTATGGATCCTCTTCTGAATCATCCTCAATCCATCCTCCATTGCCTTGGTTTGGGTAGTAGGGGTCCCCTGGTAGATGGTATCCAACCATTGCGTCTGTGCGAGAATAGGTATATGAGAATTGTCTAAACAGTAAAGCATATAAACTTGAACATCAAGGTTAAACTATTTCATTTACAAAATACTACTATAGTCTTCTAAATGTTATGTTTGATTCTAAAGATTATATGTTTGGTAAGTTTTAAACTTGTTGTCCACTGCAACTATTCCCTGGCACATGTTAGTCGGCCCTCGGATAAATATAGTTGATTAGACTATATTCATCCTAGTCCCGAGTACATATTCCAAGGCATACCTATAGTGCACAACTCATCTATAATACTTCTATATTGTTTTCCTTATGATATTGTTACTGTTATGTAATGTATGCATGTATACTTTTAATAAAACTATATTTTTAAAAGTATATCTCTTAATTAAAGTGTTTTTGCCCAGTTATGTTTATAGTTGTATATTAAAAATGGTTTTTATATATTTAGTTCACTATAAACAGTGCTCTGATACCAATTTGTCACACCCCCAAACCTGAACGGCGGAAACATTCGGGGGTGGAGGACGTCATGTACAGTATCATAACAATTGAATAGTAAAGAAAGTACACACCACCATAATATATATTTGAAAAGTTTACATGATTGTTGTATTACATGTTTCGAAAGTCAAATACAATATGATGCTCCTAAAGATGTTACTAACGCCAGAGTTTGTGTTCTAGCTTTTGTATTTCGCCCCGAGGGCAATACTCTGCAAGTAGAAGCTTCTTCATAGCTTCCCAACCCATAACATTTGCTACAGGTAGAGCTAAGGATTTGACTCGACCGTTCCACCAAGTCAGGGCTTTGTCAAGGAAGGTGCAGGCGACAAACTTTACTTTGTCAGACTCCAAACAGGCACATATTTCGAGGATTGATTCGATTTTCTCGAACCATCGAGTTAGGGAAATGAAACCTCCAGTGCAATCGAAGGATGTGGGTTTCGCGTTCATGAAGACTTTATAGGAACCCCCTCTTCGGTGTCCCTGGCTGTCTTCCGGGTTTTGGGGCTGAGAACCACCTCTTGAATTACCATGGTTCATTTGTGACATGGCTGCCACCACTGCGGCAGTCAGGACTGTCTGAAGTGATGCGAGATCAAATTGAGGAGGAGGTGGTGGCGGAGAAGGATTGTTGTTGTTCTTTGAGCTGGGTCTCTTTCTTGGAGGCATCTTGATCTAAAAAGATTAGGAAAGAGAGGATCATAAGTCCTCTGAATTAAATCAAGAGATATGGAACAGGGGATATCTCATCAAGACAGATATAGCATTATATCAAGCGATAAAGTAGGAAAGAGTTATCAAGGTAGAACATTTTATCGCTAGAAGAATGATCAAGTAACAACGCGTATACGAGGATTTCTACAAAGGATCGGCTCGAGAAATACTCCCATAGTATTTCATGGTTCGCTGCAGAGACGAATCGTTGTTCGGGTATTGGGTAAGTTTTAGGCATGCCGTACACCACAGTCACTCCCAAGCACATTTTGGCCGTGTCTCGAATGAATATAGTTGGCCAGGCTATATTGATCCTAGACACGACTACATAACTGCCCAGGTTTAACCATAGTACACAACACCCATTTACTTATGTTTTGTTCTACTTGTAGTTACGGATCTCAGCGGTTCGGTAAACATGTATACTTTTGAAAATACTTGTAGGTTGAAGATACTTTTAATTCAGAGCACTTATGCCCTTTAGTGTTTATAGTTTTATACCATGTAAGGTTTGGTATACTTCATTCACTATAAACAAGGGCTCTGATACCAATCTATCACACCCCGAAAACCGAAGGCGGAAACATTTCCGGAGCGGACTCCACGTTGAGTATCAAATCCAATGCACATAGTAAGTAAAGTAAACAACCATTACATTACATATAGAAATTTACATTTGTTTCAAAAGTAAAGTTATACAAGATATACATATGCATCATATTAACAAAAGTTGAGAGATTCTTCTGAGCACTCCGTCTTCACCAAAAGATATCGTCGGGTACCTGTCTAACTTGGAGCTGAGAATACAAGCGGTTTGAAAATCAGCATAAAGCTGGTGAGTTCATAAGATGTTTGTTTTTCTGAAAATGTACCAGTTTCCTTTAGTTTTCCGAAAAGGTTTGTTATACAAGAAAATCCCATATTTTCTTATGTAAAGTTAGTTTAGTTATCATTTGTTACCAATTCGATTACGTGTTGTATTTTACCCCAGGAAAAACCCATATTTTCCTAATTGCAAGACCGGTTGAATATCACAAAGTATAGTTTAATACACAAAACTATATATTGAAAATCATGGGATCACTATCCCGTACTACATATGAAAATACAGATTGAAGACCATGGGACTACCATCCCGGACTAGATACAAGATAATTTGATATATATGAAAATATAGATTTCAAACCATTGGATTACTATCCCGGACAAGAGATAGATTTAAGCCATGATATTATCATCCCGTACTTGATATAGATCGAAATCATGGGATTACTATCCCGAAATAGATATAGATTGAAATCATGGGATTACTATCCCGGATTAGTTATAAGTGTAAACCATGGGATTACTATCCCGTAATAGATATAGATCCAAAACCATGGGATTACTATCCCGTATAAGATATAGTTAAAAACCATGGGACTAACATTCCGTACAAGTTATAGATACATTATAAAAAGTAGATATGGAATCGAAACAAAGTTAGAACCAAACCCAAAACGATACTGTGAATAAACTTATATTAATACATATTGTGAGTCGGGTAACCATGCTGATACGACAACGAGACCTCCTTGACGCTTGTCAGACGTCGGACGATATCCAGAAATTTGTCACCCCAGGCGTGCCCGCCTAACTGTAGCTAGCAGTTATGGTGTGGGATTGTCAGTCCCGAATAGATCTATTCACAAATTCCTCGCTCTCCCTCCAGGAGACTCTGATTACACTTCCGGGGAGGATTTACTGATCATCCATAAAGGGTAGTGACTAACTCACAAACTAGTGCTAAACTATTCACAGGGTTCTCATACGATATCAAACATACAAAAGATTATGAAACATAATACAGTGAATATAGATACATACAATGAAACTATCTGACGATACATTCAAATGATACGTAGATAAACTGAATCAAACATAGTTTATCTAATAACTTTATATACATATTAGTACCTGATAAAACGAACACTAAAGAATCCAAAACTATTCCCATAATAATTTGATTAGTTTGGTTATTTTCTTAACTAAAATCCATTTAGTTGTAGTTGATAAATCATCCCTTATGCTCAGCATAATACATAAGGGGTAAAAGTATTTATAAATAAATTTGCCAGATATTATTTGAAACACATCAATGTTATGTTTTGAAAACAGTTATAGTTTGTTTGTATCCCCCCCCCCCCCTGAAAACATTGAAAAACACGGAAAAAGCATAGGGGTATGAACTCACCGGACGAGAAATGTGGCGATTTTGGATGCTAAGCGTTGGTTCGGGGCTTGCAAACGTACGAGATTCCTATGTAGAATGAAAAGATACACATTTGTATCTAATTAGGACTTTGGTTACTTAATTGTTAAGGACAAACACTTTTAGTCGCGGAAACACCCCATTTCAAGTGTTTGGAAGGACCCGGGTGGCGTTTAAGGACGTGTAATGATGCGAGGGACTTGGGAAATGAGTTTACTCCCCAATAGTAAACTCCCTAATGTAGTTTTCGGCCATAACACCCATTCCCCATGAGTTTACGGCCGTAAACTCATGGTGGGGTGGTTTATGGTGCTTAATGGGTCATAAATGGCTAATATCACTTGGGAATGCTTGGAATAATATTTCCTAAGGCTTGGAATTAATTTATAACATCACATGACTCACTTAAGGGAGTTTACGGCCTTGGCATGGAGCCTATGGCCGTAAACTCTCATACTCCCTTGAATAAGTGATTTTAATGTCCCAAAGTTAATCACATGTGATTCTAAAAATTCCTACAAGCCTTGATATGATTTTTGGGCACAATATGACATGTTTTTAGGATTTTACGGCCATGGGACACATGCTACGGCCGTAAACTCTCAAA